TTTTCCATTTCATACTATTACCGATTCCGATAAGTTACTGGACCCCTTTCTTGATGTTGTTTTACCATTATCTTCCAGTATTTATGCTGCAGATGATACTCCTTCACCTTCATCTATTGTTCTCCATAACATTTCTTCACCTCTTGCTATCTTCCCTACACCTGATGATAATCAAATTTTTTCTGGGATATATCCTTCTTCACCTCAAATAACATCCGACACTCCAACTCACGATATTCGAAAACCCCAAAGAGCCTCTAAACCACCAAAATACCTTCTTGATTATCACTGCAACTTACTCTCTCACTCTGATAATCCTGCCCTTCACTCAAACCATCACATAAGCCATTTCATCACGTACCAACATCTATCTGCACCTTACAGAAACGTTATTCTGAACATTTCTACTAACTTTGAACCTCAATTTTTCCATCAGGCCATAAAACTTCAACAATGGCGTGATGCCATGAAACTTGAGTTAGATGCCATGGAACATAATAATACTTGGTTTGTGGTGCCTTTACCTCCTGGAAAATACTCAGTTGAATGTCGATGGATATATAAAAACAAGTACAATTCTAATGGATCACTTGAAAGGCGTAAGGCTCGCCTTGTTGCAAAAGGCTATACCCAAAGGGAGGGCCTGGATTATTTTGATTCTTTCTCCCCAGTGGCAAAGAATGTGACCATTAAGGTATTGCTTACTCTAGCTGCTCATCAGAATTGGCACCTTTTTCAGTTAGATGTGAACAATGCATTCTTGAATGGCGATCTATTTGAAGAGGTCTACATGGGCCTTCCTCTTGGATATGAGACTCCTACATCCTTCAGGAAAGGAGAGAAGATGGTTTGCAGGTTACATAAGTCCATCTATGGACTCAAACAAGCCTCCTGACAGTGGAATGAAAAATTTACCACTTCTTTGATTCGTTTTGGCTTCACTCAGTCTAAAGCAGACTATTCCCTCTTCACTAGAGGCCATGGTGTCAATTTTCTGGCTTTGATAGTGTATGTGGACGACATTGTGATCACTGGTCCAAGTATGAAGATGATCGATTCTTTGAAAGCATTCTTACAGTCCCATTTCAAGCTCAAGGATTTAGGACAATTAAAATATTTTTTCGGGATCGAAATTGCGCATTCTACTTCAGGGATTGTTATATCTCAGAGGCAATAAACTTTACAGTTGCTGGAAGATGTCAATTATTTGGATTGTAAACCAGCACCTAGTCCTACGGAGATAAAGTCAGTTCTCAGCATCCATGAAGGTGATTTGTTGCCAGATCCTACTATGTATCGCAGACTGATTGGCAAGCTCATATATTTGACTTTATCAAGACCAGATATTACTTTTGCGGTACATAAGTTGAAGGCAATTCATCATCTCTTAAGATATCTAAAGGGGACTCTTGACCAAGGCATTTTTTTCTCATCACAGCACTTGTCTAAAACACATTTAGCTATCTGTGCTTTCTCCGATGCTGATTGGGGGTCGTGTGTTGATACAAGAAAATCAACTACAGGTTTCTGTGTCTTCATTGGAGATTCCATGGTGTCTTGGAAGTCAAAGAGACAGCAAACCATTTTTCGCTCTTCTGCTGAAGCAGAGTATAGGGCTATTGCTGCCACTGTTAGTGAGATTATTTGGATTCACCAGTTGCTGAATGATTTTGGTGTTCCTACTGCATCACCCGCTACAATCTATTGCGACAATCAAGCTGTCATTCAGATAGCCACCAACTTAGTCTTTCATGAAAGGACAAAACATATTGAAATTGACTATCATTTCATCCGAGATAAAATCACTACTGGCATAGTGAAACTCCTCCCTGTCCGTTCTAAGTATCAGCTTGCGGATGTCTTCACAAAAGCCCTTCCAGCCATTACTTTCAATTCTTTGATGTCCAAGATGTGTATCAAAAACATTTACAACACATCTTGAGGGGGCGTATTGGAACTATTTGCATCATCACGTTATATCAGTACTCTTTGTAGTGTTAGCTTTGATTGTTAGTTTGTTTCACCTACTGGACTTTGACAGCTAGACATTAGTTAGTTTTTTGGCGCCTTTTTCTCTTTCTTGTGTTGTATATATATGTGACTTCATGTAATCTTTTTCACTAGAGAAAAATGAAGATTTCAGATTCATATTCTTCCTGTAAATCCAATAATTAGCGTATGGTAAAGGTGATAAAGTGTACTTTTTATAAATAAAATTGTAAAAATAACTTTTCAAACTATACTTCACATTTAGTGAATAAAAAACATATAATAAGGTCTGTTTGATATGTAAAGGTAGAAATGAATTTCAATTCTATGTTAGTTGGAAAATATAAAACCATCAAGTTCATAGGAATTCATTTTCCATGAAAACAAAGAAAATGCATCTTCAAATGGTTGTACCTTGAAAATCGATTTCTATTTTCACGTTGCAATCAAACGGCCAAAGTGGAATTCATTTTCTTCGAATGAGACATTTTTCATAGAATTCGCTGCAATCAAGTGGGCCATGATAAGAGAAATCAAGTGGAATAATGGCATGGCCTCAGCTTTTTCGAGACTATAAACTCAGAATATATATTTGACGACATAATAAATGTCACAAGATATATTTTTAATTCTAATGTCAAATTAAACAATTTATATTACGTTAAATATAAGAACACATTAATTTACGAAGGGTATGTTATATTAAAATTGTTTAATATTAGAGTCATTTTTGATTCGACGTGTATATCTGATTGAGGTATAAATTTGGGGTGGACACAACCTCCATGCACTTCGACTTAGGTTCATAAATTTTCAGGAAAATATTAAGTCGAGAATTTTTTTGACCCATAAGGCCCTTAGGCAAAATTGAATATTATTGAAAACAATTATTTCGTGAAAGTTGACATTGCAAGACATACAATGCTATGAGAACTTTCAAGGACATTGACTTGATGCTAAGTCGTGGCAAGATCGGCATTAAGGCTCGATACGAGCAGCAATCAACATGGGTCACTTTGCTAGGCTCAAAACGAGTTTCTATGGACACGATCCACTTTATTCTTCTAAGCATGTCATGTCGATACAAAATATGTTTCTCGTCGATCATCCCTCTCCTCACGCACGTGACTTTCTAGATTATTTTGTGCTTGTGCCTCGGGCGTGGAGGTGTTTGCAGTTCATCATAAGAAATGTAATGACACAAGTGCTGTATCTGTCCAACGTAATAAATGGGTCAAACTTAGTATTAAATTCATTCAAATCGACGATTTCGGCTGAAATGCAGAGATTTTATCATTGGAATTTGAATAATGATCCTTTGACATACTTAAGGACAAGGATGAAGAGACAATGTGATATGAGTGATAATAATTGGATGTTGTATTTTTATTTTTTTCAAACTATCCAATCATAAGTCGACACGCGTTCCTCTATTTTTGACCCTGTCCTTGAGCCTGTATAGCATGATTGTTGGAATTTCATTCAACGGTTCGGTAGTGTTTGAAATGCATTATTTTCTAAGGTAGTTGGCAAACTTTTTCTTTTTTCCAACAAAAATAGTGTTTGATAAGTGAAATTTTCTAGAGAATTGGTTTTCCAATTTGCTTCTTTGCCTCTTTTCTAGGAAATTGTTGAATTTATTTCTTGCCTTTTCGGTGGTAAAAGATTTTCAAGCTTTTATTTATTTGTTTATTTTATTTTTTTTGCAATTGGAACAAATTTTATAACCATTTGTAAAAAAATTCATTTTAATAGACATTTTTCATGTAAAACAAAGTTAAACGAACACTAAACTTTGATTAAAAAATGATTTTCTTGAATTTTTTTTTTTACTTTTTGGTAATGGAAACAAATTTTATAACCAATTGTGGGAAAAAATTATCACTTTAATGGACAATTTTCATGTAAAATAAATCCAAACGAACACAAAAAGATCCAAAATTTTAAAAAATTTCAGTTAAAATTATACTAATCAAACACACTTAATTAATAATTCACTGAAAAACAAGTTCTAGGCAATTATTTTTTTCGGAATTCATTTTCTTTCCATCCATTTCACAAAAATGGGTGTCAAACACCCCCTTATACCAATCAAACACATTTGAAATCATTTTCTCTGCAAAATATTTTCTAGGCAAATCTTTTCCCTGTAAAACATTTTCTTTCCATCCATTTTCCACTCTTGCAACCAAACAGACCCTTAATAGTTGGTCAGAATAATGCTATATTGCTATCTAATATTGATGATGGTCAACGTTTGTCTAAATGTCGACAATGATATGGATCATATATTTTTAAATTTAATTGAATTTATCATTTAGCCTCTATTTGGTATAGACTAAAATCTGATTTTTAGTAAATTTTGAAAAAAATTGATAAAATATATGGTTGAAAAGTTGTGGATCCCATGAAATGTGTGATTAAAATTAATTGCTGACTTTCACTTGAAATTAAAATCAAATTTTAATTTGAACCAAATGGAGTCTTAATATCATTTATATGGATTAACAATTTTCTAGTTCGATTTTTTTTTTTTTACCCTGATCACCCTAGTTTATAACATCTTCAACTTCAAATACGGCAAGAAAAAAAATCTGTCTTGGAGAATGAATTTAATAGCACGGTCCCTACTCCAACCTGCTTCTGTTGTGAATGCAAAAAGACAATAACTGTTAACACAAAGCAGATTACAGCCTACATTTTCAAAATTTTCAGTCCCGCACACAGAAACGCAATGCCATGCAGAGAGGTGCCACACATGGTTTCAGCCCATAAATCCCTTCACTTCACACACAAAAATTACTTGTGCTTGTCAAATTTGAATACTACTTGACATGGGGTGGGGTGGGTTGCAACAGGATCTATATATTGTGACCTTTACCCTCTCATTTTTCCATACTGAGCAGACACACAGATTAAGGTTAGGTCAGTTACCTAGGTTTTGGACATTTTAAGGTTGATTTATTGTGTACTAAATTGTTTTCCTTGATTATTGTTTGTAGAGGAGAAAAATGTCACTTGGAAGGGTGTTTTTCGTTCTTGTTTTGTTCTCACTTGCTCATGGCAATGAAGATGGATGGATTGATGCTCATGCCACTTTCTATGGAGGTGGTGGTGCTTCTGGAACAATGGGTACAACCCTTTTTTACTCTCGTCCTCTCACGGAGGAACACGTGTTTTGATCTCAGTTATTCATAGTTTTTAACGACTAGAAATCTTGTAGGAGGGGCTTGTGGATATGGGAATTTATACAGCCAAGGGTACGGGACTGACACGGCGGCATTGAGCACAATATTGTTCAACAATGGGCAGAGTTGTGGGGCTTGTTTTGAGATTAAATGTGTGAATGACCAAAAGTGGTGCCTCCCAGGCTCTATTGTGGTCACTGCCACCAATTTCTGCCCTCCAAATTATGCACTCCCAAATCATGCCGGTGGGTGGTGCAACCCACCTAACCACCACTTTGACCTCTCTCAGCCTGTCTTTCAGAAAATTGCTCAATACCAAGCTGGAATTGTTCAAGTTAGTTACAGAAGGTACACACTTTAAAACATGTTTGTTTCATTGGTCCAAGCTCCATTTAGTTATCTAATTTTTTGTTTCAATTTGGTCACTCTATTGTACTTGTCAAATGAGCTTTGTTGGTTTGAAGTTTGGCCTTGAAATTGAGATTGAGTAATGTTATTTAACGTAAGTGGTGCGAATCACCAATCTATGTGACTCTGAGGCATAGCATTATTCATAGAGTTTTGATTGACGAATGTAGGGTACCCTGCCAAAGGAGGGGTGGCATTAGGTTCACAGTCAATGGTCATTCTTACTTCAACCTAGTCTTGATCACCAATGTTGGAGGTGCAGGTGATGTCCAAGCAGTTTCAGTTAAAGGTTCAAGGACTGGTTGGCTATCCATGTCCCGAAATTGGGGGCAAAATTGGCAAAGCAATGCTGATCTTGACGGTCAAAGCCTCTCTTTCAAAGTTACCACTAGTGACGGCCACACGGTGGTCAGTGACAATGCCATCCCCACCGGTTGGTCCTTCGGCCAAACTTTCACCGGTGGACAATTCACTTGAAATTATCCCACATCTCTCAATGACCTATTCAGCCGTAGGGTTACAAGTAGTTAATTCATCTAATTTTAGGGGTGGCTCTAGCAAAGTTTTGGTCACATGAAATATGTATGATTCCGCATAGGGCTTTTTAGAAGGGCAGAATTGGGTCAGTGGTAGGTTTTTTACCCAACTCGCCAGTACTTCATCGAGTTGTATTATTTTATAAGTGGTATTGGAAAACGCATTTTGAATGAATTGACAGTTTGTCTGAAACGGCTGAAAGTGTTCTTAGACAAAGTGCGAGATTGAAATCGTTAATGTGGACTATTTTTTATCTGACAACGTTGATGATTATGTTGTTCTAGACAAACCTCTACCCAACAAAAAAGAAAATTTTATTTTTGCCGCATCGCTTTCGGTTTCATCGTCTGTTTAAGTAGTATATTTTTGATTTAGCCTGTTCAAAGGTTCAAACAAACAGAATAGAGTCATACTATTGAGAAAAGTCCCCACGTGAGATTCAAGTAAAGGGATATTCACGAATACGATTTCTATTGATTGAGTTTCTTATTATGAATGGAAGGCGAGTTGGCTGGCTTCCTTACCCGATTGAAAATTGTTTCAAATGAGGGATGAAGCAAAGTTGGTTCACAACTTCATGTGTGGTGATCTAATTGAAATTTGGCTTGGGTCTAATGAGATCTAATTGAAATATGGCTTACTATTCCAACACATCGATCTGACTCAATTATCATTGGTGGAGCCAGCACCCAATGATGGGGCACTGTCGCTCGTGCGGCTCCGTAGGAATTTACTATTATCGTTAGGAGCCAAGGAGGAAACTTGAAGCGAAGGGAGTCAGGGACGAAAGGTTTGGAAGATGGAGCATTTTTTTAAATTAAATGTCACATTTTTATTAAAAAAATGACATACAATGTCACTTTCATTAAAATGTGACATTTGTCACTCAAAAAATAATAGAAATTTCTGGAAAGTGACATGATAGAAAGTAAAAAATACTGTGTAAAATCTAATTCATTAAAAAAGTGACAAAATGTTCCTTTTTAAAGTAATTTGTCACTTTTTTATATATAATATCACTTTTACTAAAAAGTGATATTTGTCACTCAAAAAAGTGACAAAATACCAATTAAAACATTGAAATTAGTTCGATAAAATGACAGAAATAAAACAAGTGACACAACCATGATCAAATAGTAGAGCACATTCTAAAAGCACCCAATTTTCTTCCACATACCATCATCAGAATCCAAAGAGGATATCATAATAAACTCTCTGAAATAGTATATATTTGGGGGAATATCAATAGGGTTTGAATAAGTTAAATTGGACGCACTTGGAATGGAATATCCATGAGGATTATACGAGGGAATGGGGATTGATGTCATCTAATCTCAGTATTTTCGATAGTTTAATGTTGTTGGAGCTTGGAAAAACACTCAAACAAAGCTCCTCTTGTGTTGATCTTTGCTTAACAATTTATCAGTTGAAAGGACCACAAACACAATTTGTTCGGCGTGGCAAAGTTTACTTCAAATAGTTTCTTGCTTTTTTAAAATGAGAAATCCGAATCCTAATATTTTCCCCAGCTAGAAATTGAAGCAATTTTCATTTTTATTCAACTAAACTTAACCCTCGATAACGCAAAACTTCACGAAGTAAGTTGACGAGGTAGATATTTCTCGATGCCAGTAACAATTTCCGGTGGGAAATCCGATCAACATCTCGAGAAAGAGGAACCGAAGATTCAATAACTCAAAAACCTATAATCGAACATCGCCTCCTTTCCATGGCGGATCTCTTACTTCAAGGCACTATCCAGTTCTATATTTACAATTTTATGCATATGTTTTAAGCTTCC